TGCCCACAGCATGCTGGCTGCCTCCAGAACAGGTCGTTGATGGGCCTGGCATCAGCCTCTGCCTCTCCGCTGAGCTCCGTGCCGGCCCAGGGAAAGTCAGGGAGCGCTGCGATGAAAGGAGCGCTGTCGAGGCTGCTGGGGACAGCTGGGCTCGGTGGCTGCGTGGCATCGATCCACCACAGCAGCTCTGCCCTTTCCTGGACGTTCAGTTCTGGCAGCAGCTCACTGTGACCATTTTCCACAGTCTCAGTGCAATCGGTCCCCTCTGCTTGGACATCAACGAGGTCCTGGTTCTGCTGGGGGATCTCCAGAGGGCTCGTCACTTCTGAAAAAGCAAGAACATCCCCCAGAATGATGATCACAGCATTCCCACAGCCACCCAATGCAGACACCCCCCCACCAGCTCTGCAGCCCCCAGACTCACCGTTGTTGACCCACGCCAGGAGGTCATCCATGTCCGGGATGTCGTCCGGGATCTCTGTGCTGGATGTCACTTCTGGAAAAGGGAAGAAAATCCCCACACGGGCAATTCCAGCTTTCCCACACCCGCTCAATGCGAACAGCTCCCTGCCAGCTCTGCTGCCCCCAAACTCACCGCTGTTCATCCACGTCAGGAGGTCATCGATGTCCATGGTGTCCTGCGAGATGTCTGCGTTCGTTGTCGCTGCTGGAAAAGCAAGAAAACCCCCAGTGGGGCAATGCCAGCTTTCCCACAGCCAGCCGGTGCGGACAGCCTGCCGCCCGCTCTGCAGCCCCAAACTCACCACCTGATTCCAGCGCTGCGGTGCTGCAGGTGAGTGGAGCCGTGGTGGGATGGGGGCACACGTTGGTGGGCGCTGGGTGCCCCTGGTCCTCCGTGAGCAGCACGACATCTCCAAAGGGCCCCACCGCCTGCTCCCAGCTGGCGGGCAGCGTGCAGGGCACAGGGAGCACCTGCTGCTGCACCGAAGGTGCTGGCAGAAGGACGGGGCTGCCGGAGGCCTGCAGCGGGCAGCTGCCTGCGGGCTGCGGGGGCTCCCCATGGAACACGGCCCCAGGCCACAGCCCCATCGGCCGCTGGGGCTGCGGCGTCCCTGCCAGCAGGGGATGTCCCCAGCAGTGGGCAGGGGCCGTGGGGGGAGCCATGCCTGGGTGCAGTTCCCAAGGTAGCAACTGCAGCAGCGGTAAGTGCTGCCCCCCGGGTGGCAGCTGAACCACGGCTGGAGGCAGCCCCCCAGGTGGGAGCTGTGTTCCCTGTCCCTGGACACCTGGTAGCCCAGGCCAGACGGAGGCCTGAGGCACCACGTGGATGACACTGGGGACAGGGAGCGGTTGCGGTGACACCGGCACTGCTCCGCCGATGCTGGGCTGCATTGCAGCAGTGGCCGGTGGTGGCACAAGGGATCCAAAGAAAGCAGCGTCGGGTGTCGGAAGCACCGTCAGCGTCCCTGAAGGGATTCTCTCTGTGGGGAAATGCCCAAATGGGTACTGGGGTGAGATCTGGGGCACTGGGATCACCCGGAGGGCCGCAGTGCCAGGAGCAGAGCAGCCTGCTGCCTTACCTGCCGCGGGAGCTCAAGAGTGGCAGTGGGGGGTTCCGTGACCGCTGAGGTCAGCCCCTCTCCCCTGAGCTCACAAGGATTCTCTGTGACACTGTCACAGGCATTGCTCTCTGCCTGCCCCGTCACCAACACTCGCTGTGGCTGCTCACTGTGGCCTTCCATTGTTTCAGTGGAGATGATAAACTTGATGGAAATGAACTTTTTACGCGTCGAGATGGTGATGGGACAAAGGGGAACGGTTTTAACATAAAGGGGGCAGATTTGGATTAGATGTCAGGGAAGTTCATCCCAGAGGCAGCCGAGGCCCTGGCACTGCTGCCCAGACAGGCCGTGGGTGCCCCAGCCCTGCAGCTTCCCTCGACTCAGCTCCCATTGCAGTGAAGGGAGACAAAGGGAGGGACGTGGCTGATGACGCTCAAACAAGCGGTGGCATCGCAGGGCTGCGGCGCTCTGACTCTGCAAAGCCACCAAACTTCCACCTGCTGGCCGTCTCCCTTCACACATCCGCCTGTCACAGAAGCACAGGGGCTGGAAGGGACCTCTGCAGATGAGCGCAGTACAACCTTCCCCCAGAGCAGCTTCCCTGCAGCGCTTCCACAGGAGAGGCTGCCTGGAGCTGCGGAGCCCAGAACTGACCCAGAGCTCCATACGTGCCCAGTGCTTCCTGCGGCCGTCCACAGCCTCCCAGGGCCACC